CAGATAATAGACAAAACGTAAGATACAAAGGATGTCAGACTGTAATACATTCTAAGGAGAAGAAAACAAAGCAGAGAAAGAGAATATAAATTTGGGGAGGGCTGCAATTTGACCCGGAGGGGTCTCACTGAGAAGGTGGCTTTTGAATAAAGATCTGGAGTAAGTGAAGGAGGGAGCTGTAAGGCTGTCTGGAAGAAAAGCATCCCTTGCCCTCCAGAACCGAATGATTCTTTCTGACAGAAATGCCCAGAGTCTTTCTGCCCGGCAGTTCATCCTTGGTTTCTTGTCCTTGATCCCATTTTCTAGCAGTAGATTTTTCCTAAAGATAGCAGACTAGAGCTTTCCTGCAGAAGTGTCAAAAGGCAATCATAGTTTTCAGTGATAACTGGGTCACTCAACATGAGGTTTATAACATGAGGGAGAAGGGGACATATAGGCTATCCACTTTCTTTCAGGATCAGACACATTGGCAGAAGAAATGTGGTTAGCCCTCCGACAGGGAGATTTGTGGAGCAATTTGCCCCTGCCTGAAGCCACAAAATAGAGAGAAGAGAGCCCAGGTATTAGCTGGAAGAGAAGAACTCAACCCAAGGGAAAATGAGCAAGTTTTCTTCTCTATGACCAGACATTTGCTTGTCTGTGGGCTCTGTCTAGCATTCTATATACTGCCTGGCTATAAATCCTAGCTCTTACAATTATTAATTGGATAACCTTAGGCAGATTATTTAATCTCTCTGAGCTTTATTTTTCATCTGTAAAATGGGTATGATAATAATGGTAGCTATCTCATAAGGTTGACATTGGGGATTAAATGAGATCATGGAGGTAAAGTGGACCATAGTAAGTACTCAATAAATAAGTACACCACCATCACTGTCATCATCATCATCACTATCACCATCATTATTTCTTGGGCTTACTAGGGAACAGCACCAAGTTCAAGGACAAGAAAGCATTATTCAGTACATCTGGAAAACATTTATCAGTATCTCACAGCAGTTGGTACTAAGATTCAGCTGAAAGGCTGCCTAGATGGTAATCTTCAAGGCAAGGGAAGCATTTAAAAAACCCCTATGCTCCAGGCAGGTAGCAGAGGGTTAAGGATTTGCAGGCAGAATGGTGATTTACAAATGGGCTTCCCTGGCACTAAAAAAGGGGGAGGGAGAAGAGAAAATGGAGGTATTTTAGGAATATCAAAGGCACCTGTGAGCCGGGATGCTGTGTTGATGATGACCAGGAAGGTGCTTGGTGTAAATATCTGGGAAATGGTGAGGGTGCCTGCCGTGGGAACCACCCAGGGGCCCAATAACCTCGCATGGCTTCACTCTGTGTCTCTTTAGCCCCAGTGTGTTCTCAGTTGCATGGAAACAAGCAGAGCTGAAGACCAAATCTTTTAGCTACAATTCCACCCCACAGTGTAAAGAGAGCTAAACATATAAGTGTTCGGGTATCTCTAAAGATAACATGTTCTGTTACTCTTTCATTGGGAGGCTCTGTATAATAGTTTAAAATGCTAGTCAGGTCAGACTGACCTGAATTTGAATCCTGACTCTGTTACTCCGGTGGTGTAACATTGGATGAGTTATATAATTTCTCTGGGTCTCAGTGTCCTCATTTGTGCAGTGGATGGTGTAACAGTATCTACCCAATAGGGTGATTATGGAGATTAAATGGGAAAATGCGTATAAAACCCTCAGCACGGTGCCCAGCACATAGTAAATACATACTAGTTATTATTATTGAAATCTTTTGGATGGATTGTTTTCTGGTGAGATAAATGGGGGTACGAGAGTATAAATGTAGAGAAAGAGAAAGAGAAGAAGAGATACGGAAAAGAGAGGCAGGATGTTAAAAGCTGATCCTGGAAGAGAGGCACTTAATGACTGTCAAAAAAAATATGCTGAGAGAGAAAAAGGATAAAGATGGCAGGGACTCAAAGGCAGAGGCTTGGCTGTCTTTTTTGCCAAGGTTTCATCCATCTGGCCTTGGCTTCTATGCCAGCTTTTTCCTCCAAATGGCAGCTCTAGAAGCCTAGTGGTAAACCCAGGGCAGGGAGATAGATCATCTCTGAATCACCCTAAACTTGTGTACTCACGGAAAGCACATAAGAAATGTACCTATTATTCTTTTGCAGTATAGAATTCCTTTGAGACTAATAGAAGAGACAGGCCTGTCAAGTGAGTCAGCAGTGACCACAGGCAGACATAATCCTATTGCTTTTGGCTGACAGCTCATGTAGAGAAAAATACTCTCTGATTCAGACAAAGGTAAATGTAGCTTAAATCCCAAAGCAAAATTCTGACCCTCCATAATCAGCTTCTATTCCCAGTCTATAATGACCCTAGATACCAGAAATATCAGAAACACCATCAATACATTTCTTACTGTTGGGTTGTAATAATTTAATCATTGCTAAAGGTAAAGTGCTCAAAGAATAGAATAACTCAGATTATCTTCAGGGTCTAAGCAAAATAAATAAATAAATAAATAAATAAATAAATAAAAGAACAGAATAGTAACTTTCCTCAGATCTGTTTAATAGCAGATATTGAAGCGGAGCATCTATTATAGGTGAATATCTAGAAAACGAACACAAACCTGAACAGGTTATGAGTTATCTAGAAAAATAAGACACGTGGTTAATGACATGATTTTTTCCTTTTAAGAGAAGAATGGCTGGTCTGAATCCAATCCTATGGCTTTTGGAATTTTAATCAACTACAAAACCACAGCAAAATTGCAGTTCTAAGATGGATTTTCAGTACAACCTCTTCCAACGTGCCTTTACAAACACAATAATTTAAGAAACCAAGTTGAAGTCTGGATCTGAATATCAGAATGTAGGGCACGCTTAAGAGGAAGATCAAAAGGCAGTTTTTACATTACAAAAATTAGCTTGGCCCTGAAGAGTAATTGCTTTTATAGAATTAAATGCAGATTGAAGTCATGTATTATGACCTACTCCATCTGTTTAGCATACGCTCATATATATAGTATATATGTATACACAAATATATGTACTACATATATTTTTGTTTTAGTTTTTTAGGAAAGAAGAGAGATATGTTTATTTCACATTTTTGCTAAATTTACTTCCCTGAGATGTTATGTCCTGGACCTGTGGGATGGTTATGATTGGAATCTGTCTGCTTTGGCTTCTAACTTACATGCAGTATGGCTGACCTGTGCAGAAGTGTGACTTCCCAGATACACAAGCACTCCGGGGCAGCTGACTTCCACAAAGCGCTAGTAATGCTCTCATTTCTGAGTTCAGACCTCTACCCTATATTTAGCACTTTTCTTTAGCCCACCCAAGGCTGGTGCTTCTTTCATCCCCTTTGAGCTCTGTAGCTCCCAGTTTCCATCGTTCCTTGGTTGGTGTTGCTGAAATGCTGCGTATCCCAGCTCAGTCTTGCCACTGCCTCACCAGTCACACTACTCATCTAATCATAAGCTTGATGTGCAGCCTAGTGTGAGATCCAGAGAAAGAGAGACTTCTGTTCTCAGTGGGACAGAATATTTAAGCTTAGGCCTCTGCTTTAAGATCTGGGACTCAATTTCGCCCTTTAGCGCTGTATGTATGTATCAATAACCCAAAGCAATTTTTCTTGGATGTGTTTTGCTTTGAATTTGAAATATGCTTTTGATGTTTTTTATTTAATATGGCACAGGCACAGGACTACATTAATTATTTAGACCAGAACTTATTTTGCACTTGATGTAAGAAAAAAACTGGCACACTTGATCAGGGTGATTGCATAGAGTGAAATGAACCCAATTTATGTAAAGGATTATTGAAGGAATAGAAAACTTCCAAAGTAAGCCTGCTAAATCATTCATTCAGCAACTGACTGACATTTGCCCAGATCTGGATCCTGTGCTTTGCCAGGTTTTAAAGCAAAGCAAAGAAGCAATTATTTAAAAGTGACAGTGAAAAACAGTATTGAAAGACAGCAACCCTGGAGCGTGGATATATTTTAAGTGATTATTCTCTCTTAAATAATGTAATTCAGACCGTGGAGTTAGGCACCAGGAATCATCTCTCAGCCTACATTTCCACCTGGCAAACTTTGATATTCTATCATTAAAAGATATGTAAATACAATGTAAATAATGTCAACTACTTTTTAAAGAATAATTCTCTCTCTTATTCTTTTACAGATTTCTATTTTATTTTATGATTAAAATTTTGCTATGCATTACATGGGTACAGTTAGGCTTAAAGTCTAATTCCGGGAATCTAGCTCCTTTGAAACTATTTGTTTCTTTTACATTTGCAGTTAATGTCTATAAATCCGTCTGATGCTAAAAAATCTGATGTGAAGAAATTGTAAATCTAAGTCCTTTTCTCTGCTCTATACATAAAAAGTCTAAAATTTATGAAGAGGCAAATGCAACATTTTCATCAGTTATAATTGTTCTCTAGACTTACTAATGGAAACAGTTCAGGCAATCAAAAAGCAAGTAGAAAAAAAAGCATCTTTGATTCCTCAGAGAATTTTTTTTCTAGATTGTAAATAAATTGTTCTTATGTTTTCTATTTGGCTGTTTCAAAAACTACACAAATGAAATACAGGACATAGACAAATGAAATGTTAGTAAGTCGTAGGATATTAAAATATCCCGACTTTGCCTGCATGGAACAAAGGCAGTCTACTCTATTAGGAGAATAAAAGCGAATGTGAATGAGGGATTTTCACCCTGGCAAAACCAGAGGCTTCATCCGCCCTTGAGAGAGCCACTGGACAAGACGTCTTGTGACAATGTAAGGATGTCAATGAGGCTCTGAAATAGGAGCATTATACAGAACCCCCACCCGGAATGAACATATGGAGCTCAGGAGTGGAAGTCCCCATTGACAATGCCTCTTTTGGCTGCAGGGTCTTCTGTGCAGCCTCTCATCGATCAATATAACAGTTTGCCAACCCACACATTAGTATTTTCTGTCTTTAGAAGCAATGATGGTATTTACCACCGGTGAGAGTGATCTGTGTATTCCCGGAACAGCTTGACTCAACTGTACTAGACTTAAAAATGCAGTCCTGGGTGTCTACTGTGTTGAAATCCCTTTAATTTTTTATTTGAATACTCCCAAGCTTTGTAATTATGCTATTATATACTTATGGTCATAAGAAGCCAATTTTAAGCTAAATACTCTTTAGTATCCCTTTTCACATATATTTTCACCCCATGTATAAAGTTTGGGATAAAAAAGTTCAAGGAGTGTGGGAAAATACAATAAATCGAAGGGTAGAACATTTTAAAAACCACTAGTTTACCTTGTTCTTCAAATTTTTTAAGGTTTAGAAAATTTATTAGTATTTTAAAGCATTTTAAGAATTATTATAAACTTCTTTCAGAACATCTATCTCTACTGGGATGAGATCACATTCCTCTATTGTGAGCACACAGTAGGAGCTCAATAAATGCTTGTTTAGAGAATGAATGGCTATAAAGAGGTACTTATGTTTCTCTTTTACCATAATAGGTAAAATCTATAAGTAGTGTTATCTTTGCCCACGACGTTCATGTAACAAAACTAAGTTCAGCAAAAGAACTGATTTAAAGTAATACTGTAAGAATGGGAAATTTAAACGATTGAAAAAAGTTTACGGTCTGCCCATATATTTCTAAATATAGCATACTTGACCAGGAAAATGGAAATGAATATTTGTGAATGAACTTCAGTTTAAAGGAAATTATCAATACAAAGCCATGTAAGTTTAAATTAACATAAAGAAAATACAATTACTTCTAAAAACAACCATATACATTAAGAGAAATGATACTCTCTTTAAACTTGCATTCTCAATACTGTCTGTGCAAAATTGCTTGTAGTGTCTTCAAACGGGCATCTGCGGTCAGATGCATAGAAAACATCCCCTTGAATGGTATATATATCATAGCATTGTGGCCTGCCATTTCCTTTAATTAGATGGAGTCTGGCCAGGTCACGGCTGTGCTTTTGAACAACTGGTCTGGATATGTGAAACCTGCAGAACGGGCAGCAGCAGCTGGAAGGCGTCCTGTACGTATGCCGTGCTATTGCAGCCCTGTGAGAGGAGAAAAATGTGGTTGAAAGGTTATTTTCAGATTTAATCTTGACAATTATTCCAATTTGATAACGTTCTCTCTCCTCAAACCCCACAATATTTTATAATATTTTTCTTTTAATGTTGGTGCTTAAAGCAAATGTGAACACATTTCTTTGTATGGAGTGTGTCCAGGTCTTAATAATCTCTATTAACAGAGAGAAGGATTCACTCAAAATGAGCCTAGTCATTTCCACAGACTTTTAGGGTACATCAATATGTGTATATTTATGACCCAATATGTCCAATATGACCCAATATATCCTTTTCCCAGGTCAAGCCCACTGCACTCAAATAACAGAAAAGCACAGTATGAAGGAGGCTCTAGTTTGTCCAAACCTATAGATGAATAAACAAGAATGGTGTACATAAAACTAACTGGAGATATTATTGTGCAATTATTCACGGCAAACCTTGAATGCTATCATCCTCTCATGCATATTGGTACCTTCACTTGGTTTGGATATTTGATGTTGAGATTCATGTTCTATGGTGCCCTAACATACAATATTAGAAGGAGAGACCATTTAAATCTCAGGTAACTAAAACTTCCACTGGGAGAATGAATAAACATTTGACCTCATATTCCTCATGACTGACATGGTAAAATTAACCTGCTCATGCCTTCTGGGTAGCCAGCGGAGAGATTTTCTTATTCCATCTCTGCCTCTGACTGCCTGGGTTTCCTCTTAGCTGTATCTGTCCCTCCAGAACCTACACCTATAGCTCTTTGTCCCTGCTGGTTGACTCCATCCCACTGTATGGCTGTGTCCCAAACAATAACACTGGGTGCCATGACTTTGTGACTTTTGTACTTTGGTAGTTTTCCTTAGCAGTAAGGCATGACTCCTAAAAACATGGCTATAAATATATAGGTAGCCCTTCCTGAGTTGAAGTTTTGTACTTTCCAATTTTTGCAATTGACAGCTACTTTAGATAGCAAAAAACTACTGTATATGCATTGCCCACGTTTAAACTCAGCTTGTTAACACTTTGTGGCTTCAGCTGGGTCTGCTGTGGCTATAGATATGCCAGTTTCTTATAGTATGGCCCCTAATGGAAGGTTTTCCTCCACCAACCACAGGTAGAACACAGTGTCTATGACTCAAGAATGAGAAGGCCTCCTGGGCCTCTTTTCTTCTCTCTGACAGCACTCCTTCTGGTAAAGACACAGCAGTGTCGGGGCAGCTTTATATCTATACTACAAAGTCCTGGTGAGTGGGCAGGCCACAGAGCGAGTAGTCACAGAGGATGGTACCTCTAGTCACTGAACGGGCAGAGGCTGAACATTCTACTTGTCATTTTTGCCATTCTAGAACTTAGACCCAGCTAAATCAAAGGTTACTGTGAGTGGAGGAAAGTGCCCATTTTTTACGAAAATCACCATTGAGCAAGAATCCCTCATTGCAGCCAATAATCACAGCGTTAAATCTGGTGTCAAACTTAGCGGCAGAAATCTGCTTCTGCCGGAGGAAACAGCGACAGAAATAATGTGCAAACTTAGCGTTTCTCTTTATAATCAGGAATTCTTGAAAATTAGGTATTGTTTCTTCACCCGAGGGTTTACAGCTGGTTGAACTGCACAAATGTACTCAAACAAGACTGTTGATGATAAGATTTAGAATTGCAGTAACAACTGCTGCCTGGGAAAGAGACCAAAAAACGTAGCTCTAACATTTGCTTTGATTCAGAAGTGCTTTATCTCCAGGGGCCACTTACCTCTAACAATACACTATTGATCATGGGGTTAAGGACCTCCGCCTTCTTGTTGCTCTGCGGAATCAAAAGGATGAAATTGACAGATTAGGTGCTCATTCTACAAGGCTTGCCACATAAAATGTCATATGCCGGCTTTGTTGAGGGATCTCTTAGAGAGGAAGGGGAGAAGAAATGGAATGCCTACTATAGACCAGGCTTTGTATTTGGTGCTTCCCCATATAACCTCATTTAATTTCTTTTTTTTTTCGCTCGAGGAAGATTAGCCTTGAGCTAACATCTCTGCCAATCTTCCTCTGTTTTGTACATGGGTCATTGCCACAGCATGGCTAACGAGTGGTGTGTGTCCGTGCCTGGGATCCAAACCCATGAACCCGGGCCACTCAAGTGGAGCATGCCGAACTTAACCACTATGCCATGGGGCTGGCCCCTGATCTCATTTAGTTTTGACAGAAATCCTAGAAGGTAGGTAGGTACCATGATAAGCCAAATTTAACGATGAGAAAATAGGGGCCAGGAAGGTTGAGTAACTTGTGTAAGGTCACATAGCTAGAAATTTAAACTTAGACCTTCTTAACTATTTAAAGCTTGTGGCAGGTCTGGGATTAGGGTGAGGTGAGTGAGGCTGAGCTGTACAAGTGCAGGGTCGAATCCTGTCTTTACTTAAAATTTTGGTATTTTGTTCATCATGATTTTTTTGCATTCGTTTGATTTTTAAAAATATTGCATTAAAATATCTATCTAGATGGCTGTTTCTTTGTCTTTTTTGGGGGGGGGAGGACTTAAATTTTATAGGTGAATTAAACACCTTACTTGCCTATCCTAGTCCTAGCCCTAGACTGTAGTCTTTCTGTTTTTAAATGCAAGCACAGGTATTTGCTTATAGGGTATGTCTTCCAGACTAGCAGAAAAATTAAAACATTTTTGCAAACAAGTCTGCAGATTCCAGTTTGCAAAACATGAATAACCCATGTAAGGACAGAATACAGTGCCTGATATAAAGTAGGTGTTCAAAAAGTGAGTGGTAGTGTTAGTATCATCGATATTATTATTTCCACTATTGATCTATCAATAATAGTCTTCTCTATCTAAAATGTTCTCTCTACTCTTAGACAATAAATAATTCAAGGGACTCAAAAGAGAGAGAGCAATTTTAACAGTCTGGTTTCCCTTACTGCACCCAGAAGACTTTACGGTAAACAAAAGTATATAAATGAAATATATCTTCCCAGAGTAGCCCACTTTCATTGATACTATTCTACTCAGGGCAAAGTAATGTCTTACTGGGGAAACCATAATGAAATCTTGGGAAAAACCTCTTTAAAAGCCCAGTCACTTTAGTAAGTAACCAGAAAATCCATCATGGTATTTGCTTTCATGTTTATTTGATTATCAATAAACCTCTAAAATATAATCAAAATGAGGGCAATAAAATGACATTGGGTTTCAGAATCAGTGAGATGTGCAAGCAATTTAAATAGAGTCTGGAGAGCAATATACACTCATTAACTTCAAGTTATGAATAATGGCTGTTTTAGAGAACAGAAACAATGACTTGATGAAAATGATTCATCCTAGCACAAGATGAAGGGTATTGCGGTGAGACGGCATTTTAGTAAACTCTATTTTAGACATTTCTTCTTTCTCCAAAATAAGTTGTGTTTCTGATTTTGTGCACGCAAACATTTGTACTCATGTGTATATATATACATATACACATGTTCAAGTACACACCCATCTGCTAGAACTTTGCTACTTGAAATGTAGACTATGGGTCAGGAACACTGTTATCACTTGGGAGTTTGTTAGAAATGCAGAATCTCAGTCCTCATCCCAGACTTACTAAATCAGAATCTGCATGAATAAGATCTCCATGATTTGCTGGCACATTCAAGTTTGAGAAGCTGGAATACAATATGTTAAAAGGAACGGAAAGCAATACCATGAATATTACCCATTAATGTAAATAAATCAATGTTTAACAGGAATCACATAAAACATATAACACACACACATGCAGACACATACATCCTCATCACTAGACAACCATAGAAAACCAAACAGTTGGCTATCTGTCTGCTGTGTCTGATGGGCAGCCAATTGGGAGTTGAGAGATCAATTGAGAGGCTTGAGTGAATCAGTTCACCCCTCAGGGCCTCAGTTTTCCATCTAGTGAACTGTGGAACGAATGAGAACATGGTACAGTAGAGCCTAGGGAAGCCGAGTCACTGAGGCCATCCCATCCTGATTAAGACCTCACACCTCTCTATAAACCCACCAGTTACACCCAAGTCCATGGGTGTCACTTAATTTAGACAATACTGAGGACACAAATGCATTTTATTGAGCCTATCCTATCAATGAACTTCCCTCTCCCCTGTCACCCTGCCCGCATACAGTGAAGCTCCATTGCTGAACGACTAAAATTAGACAAATGTAAAAGCTGATGTTTTAGAAAAGAGGAGAAGCAAGCCAGATTCCTTGACAGCAGAAGGAATAGGTGTTATGTAGCTCACTCCTTATTAACTGAGTCACTTAGAGAAGAGTGGCAGACACATATCTCTTGACAGTCAGGGCCATAATCATTTCTGCCTCCTTTGAGAACTGCCTTTGGCTTGGGGCGGGGGGCACAATACACCCCAGCAGCCAGGTAGGTTTACATGATGTGACCCTGTCCCTAGTCACTACTGAGTCATACCAAGATGGACATCTGACCAACACTGATGAGTCTTTCAAACCTTTTCACGCAGGAACCCTGAATTTGGATGGAGAGACATGGGGTCTGGGAACTGCTGTAGTCGAGTCACATTAACAGCAACACGTAAGGGAGAGGGTACATGATCTCTGGTGCTGGGTCCCCACAACTGCTCACACTCCTCCATTGCCTTTAATTAGATCCCTTTTCTGTCTAAATTACTTTGTTTCTATCACTTCCTGTTATAGGCTGAATTGTATCCCCCCAAAAAGATATGTTGAAGTCCTAACCTCCAGTACATCAGAATGTGACGTTACTCAGAGATATATGATCATTGCAGGTGTAACTGGTTAAGATGAGGTCATGCTGCTCACACCCAATCCAATATGACTAGTGTCCGTATAAGAAGAGGGAAATTTGGACATAGACACACACACAGAAGGAGGACAATGTGAAGATGGAGAAAGAGATTGCAGTTATGATGCCACAAACCAAAGAATGCCTGGGGCTACCAGATGCTGGAAGAGGATAGAAAGGATCTTCTCCTAGAGGCTTCAGAGGAAGCATGGCCCTGCAGACGCCTTGATTTCAGACTTCTAGCTCCACAGCTGTGAGACAATAAATGCCTTGTGCTTAAGCCACCCAGTTTGTGGTACTTGTTAGGGCAACTCTAGGAAACTACTACATTTGCAACCAAAGAACACCATAACTAAAACAGGAAGTAAAACCTGATGTTTCTCATGGAAAGAATCATCTGCCCTTACATCCAGGGCCTTAAAAGAAAAAGTAGAAAGGTTAGAAAGGAATATTTTCCACTTGTCATCCCTGATCCCACTAAGGGGGGCTATATAACGTGACTGATTTCTAAAGAAAATAACCAGAAGCCACAGCTTCAAATGAATGCTGAACCTTTCAAAGTTTATATTATTACCTTGAGAATAGAAACACTTATGTTAATTGGTAAATCTTTTTCTTTTGGTTAAAGTTGAAGTGTAACAATAAAGCAAAGAAACTTTTTATCTTGTGTGGCTTATAAAACAGCCGCTGAGGGCAACATGAATGTGAATATTCAAGATTAATTATTTTAATAGAGATTCTTGAATTATATATCACAGGTATGAAGTAATAGAAGGAACCTTCATTTGACATTTCTTTTTTACAAATAAAGAAAATGAGGCCCAGAGAGGTTTAAAAGCCACCCAACATCTCGTATGTGCGCGATGACAAATTCAGGGCTAGAACCGAGTCAGATGAGAGCCTTCAGGTGCTTGAGCTTAGAGAAGGTGCTCTTGGCCTAGTTTTAGTAAATGTCACAGCAGAGCTTCTGTCTTGTGGAGCTATCAAAGAGGGCACTACAACCTCCACTTGTCCTCACAGCACCTCATAGACTCATCTCTCTTAAAAAGGTCAAGAAAGAATCCATATTATAATCTTACCCCAATAGTGGTTAAAGAATTCGTAAACTTCTTTGATAAGGAGGCCACTTCCTTGCACATTGCAGTAGTTAATCTGGAAAAAAAAAAAGAGGTTTGGAGATTTTCAATAAAGTAATATAATTTAACTGTCAAGACAATTACTGATATTAATACCATATTCCATTTAAAGGAACAAGTTTGAAGACGCTTTGCAGAAATGTTTTACTCAATAATCTTCCATGATTCTCAGTCACAGTTTCATCTAATCCTGGTTTTCTCTGCATGCTTAATTAAAGAATAATCATCTAACTTACCTTCCCTCTTTTTAGAGTCAAAAGTGTATGCAGGAAAATATCAGGCTTGAGCTCCACATGTATAGGGGTATACATGTGGCTTTTCTCCAAGCTTTTTGGGTATTTATAATAATAATGAACATTCACTGAGGTACTAAGTACTTTTATATGCATAATCATATTTAATCCTTATAGTGACCTTATGGGTTATGTGATTATTCCCATTTTATAGATGAAGAAACTGACATTTAAGAAGGTTAAGTAACTTGCTTAGGACAAGCAGTAGTAAGCAATAGAGCTGGGATTCAAACTCAGGTGTCTCTTGGCATCCTGATTATGTTTTTATTAGATGTCTCAAAATAAAGATCCTGTAGAATATGTTAAGACTTATATCAAAACTCCAAGTTTATTCCAGCCATTCCACTTCTAGGACTTTACCCCAAGAAAATAATGCAAGATGGACACAAATATTTAACCATTATAATGTTTGTCATAATATTACAGATGACAAAAATTGAAAACAGTCTAATTACTTAACAATGTCAGTACTGTATGATTTTTTTTTTTTACAATTAGTGTATATGACTTTTATGAATAGTGATTAAAACACTATTAAAAAAACAATAACTCTTGGGCTGGCCCTGTGGCTTAGCAGTTAAGTGCACGTGCTGTGCTGCTGGCGGCCTGGGTTCGGATCCCGGGCGTGCACCGACGCACCGCTTGTCCAGCCATGCTGAGGCCGCGTCCCACATACAGCAACTAGAAGGATGTGCAACTATGACATACAACT